AACTTCAATCTTTTCTCCATTTATCATGATGTAGCTTATTGGTCCAGTTGTGAGGAGTTTTGTTTTCTTTATGTTGAAGCTTAATCCGTATTGAAGGCTGCGGTGTTTGATCTTCACCAGTAAGTGATTGAAGTCCTCTTCACTTTCAGCAAGCAAGGTTGTGTCATCTGCATAATACAGGTTTGTTATGAGTTTCCCTCCAATCCTGATACCCCGTTCTTCTTCATCTACTCCAGTTTCTTGGATTATTTGCTTAGCATACAGATTCAATAAGTGTGGTGAAAGGATACAACCCTGACACACACCTTTCCTGACTTTGAACCACGCAGTATCCCCTTGTTCTGTTTGAATCACTGCCTCTTGATCTATGTATAGGTTCAATAGCACAATTAAGTGTTCTGGAATTCCCATTCTTTGCAATGTTATCCATAATTTGTTATGATCCACACAGTCGAATGCTTTTGCATAGTGAATAAAACAATATTCTCTGCTTTCTGCCAGGATCCATCTGATATCAGCAATGTTATACCTGTTTCCATGTCCTCTTCTGAATCCAGCTCGAATTTCTGACCATTCCCTGTGATGTACTGCTGCAGCTGCTTTTGAATGATCTTCAGCAAAATTTTACTTGAGTGTGATATTACTGATATTGTTCGATGATTTCTGCATTTGGTTGGATCACCTTTCTTGGGAATGGGCATAAATATGGAACTCTTCTGGTCTGTTGGCCCAGTAGCTGTCTTCCAAATTTCTTGGCATGGATGAATGAGCACTTCCAGTGCTGCATTTGTTTGTTGAAACATCCCAGTTGGTATCCTGTCAATTCCTGGAACCTTGTTTTCCACCAATGCCTTCAGTGCAGCTTGAACCTCTTCCTTCAGTACCATTGATTCCTGATCATGTGCTACCTCCTGAAATAGTTGAACGCTGACCAATTCTTTTGGTGTAGTGACTCTGTGTATTCCTTCCATGTGCTTCTTGATGCTTCCTGACTTGTTCAGTATTTTCCCCATGGAATCCTTCACTACTGCAACTTGAGGCTTGAATTTTTTCTTCAGTTCTTTCAGCTTGAGAAATTCTGAGCATGTTCTTCCCTTTTGGTTTTCTAACTCCAAGTCTTTGCATATGTCATTATAATACTTTACTTTGTCTTCTTGAGCTGCCCTTTGAAATCTTCTATTCAGCTCTTTTACGTCATCATTTCTTCCATTTGCTTTAGCTACTCAACTTTCAAGAGCAAGTTTCAGTGGCTCTTCTGACATCCATTTTGGTCTTTTCTTTCTTTCCTGTCTTTTTAATGGCCTCTTGCTTTCTTTATGTATGATGTCCTTGATGTCACTCCACATCCCCTGGTCTTTGGTCATTAGTGTTCAACTCGTCAAAACTATTCTTGAGATGGTTTCTAAATTCAGGTGGGATATACTCAATGTCATACTTTGGCTCTCGTGGACTTGTTCTAATTTTCTTAAGCTTCAACTTGAACTTGTATATGAGCAATTGGTGGTCTGTTCCACAGTCAGCCCCTGGCCTTGTTCTGACTGATGATATTGAGCTTTTCCATCGCCTCTTTCCACAGATGTAGTCGATTTGATTCCTGTGTATTCCATCTGGTAAGGTCCATGTGTATAGTCGTCATTTATGTTGTTGCATAAAGGTATTTGCAATGAAGAAGTTGTTGGTCTTGCAAAATTCTATCATGCGATCTCTGGCATTGTTTCTATCATTCTAGCCATATTTTCCAACTACTGATCTTTCCTCTTTGTTTCCAACTTTCAAATTCCAATCATCAGTAATTATCAATCCATCCTGATTGCATATTTGATCAATTTCAGACTGCAGAAATTTGTAAAAATCTTCAACTTCTTCATCTTTGGCCTTAAGGGTTGGTGCATAAATTTGAATAATAGTTGTATTAACTGGTCTTCCTTGTAGGCATATGGATATTATCCTGTCAGTGACAGCATTGTACTTCAGGATAGATGTTGAAATGTTCTTTTTGACGATAAATGCAATGCCATTCCTCTTCAAGTTGTCATTCCCAGCATGGTAGACCATATGATTGTCTGATTCAAAATGGCCAATAAGAGTCCATTTCAGCTGACTAACGCCTAGGATTTTGATGTTTATGTTTTCCATTACATTTTTGATAATTTCCAATTTTCCTAGATTCATACTTCATGCAGCATGGCTGAGTAATATTCCTTCATATCAATCCTTTCTTCTCTAAATTATTTGAGGCCTTTGGCCACGCTGTCATCCTTACAACTTCCCAGGTCCTTTTCTTTTTCTTTTAACAGTGCTTTAGTTGAAGGTTTATGGAGTAAATTAGTTTCTCATTAAACAATTAATACACCATTGTTTTGTGACATTGGTTGCCAACCCCGTGATGTGTCAACACTCTCCCCTTCTCGACCTTGGGTTACATATTTCCATTCTTCCAGCTTTCCTGTCCCCTCCTGCCTTCTCGTCCTTGCTCCCGGGCTAATGTGCCCATTTAGTCTTGCATACATGGTTGAGTTATGTGTATTATTGTTTGTTTTATGGGCTTGTCTAATCTTTGGCTAAAGGGTGAACCTTAGGAGTGACTTCAGTACTGAGTTGAAAGGGTGTCCAGGGACCATACTCTCGGGGTCCTTTGTTTTTTGACCCCATTCTTTCTTGCTCCTCCTTCTACTTCTCTGACTTTTTCTTTTCTGGCTTTGTCATGATCTACTTTGCCCCCACTGGTCTTTCAGCACTGGGTACCCCAGAAGCCAGGCTTTTAAAAAAATTTTTTTGCTTTAGGTGAAACTTTACGTTACAAATTAGTTTCTCATTCAAAAATTTATACCCAAGTTGTTTTCTGACATTGGTTGCTGTCCTTGCAATGTGTCAGCACTCTCTCTTCTTTAAACCCTGGGTTTCCAGTGTCCATTAATCCAGTTTTCCTGTCCCTTCCTGCTTTCTCATCTTTGCTTTTGGGTAGGTGTTGCCCATCTTGTCTTATGTACTTGCCTGAACTAAGAAGCACGTTCCTCACATTGTTATT